GGGTTCGCTGAACTCGGTGGTCTTGCTAAAAGCGACTCGCTGTATAAATATGTCCTAAATTTAAAACTTCTCGCCTAGCGAAGGACTTGTAACCCGCAACGTAGAAACCAGCCCCTATATAAAATTCATCAACGCCTCAGATGTAAGACACCACTTTTGATAGCCACCATTGCAATCATATTAAGGACTACGATTTAAAGGTATCACGTGAAATGCCCGCTCCCTTACTTGGGAGGATACCCATGCCAAAGTTCCAGCACAAGAAAACTTATCAATCAACTTGGCTGTCTGCAGATCGAAAAACTCTCAACCAAATCGGATCGTATTGTGTTTGATGGACGCTCGACACCAAAAAACTGCAATCAATAGACTCCACCGAATGGTTAACAGCTTGCCCTTCTACTTTCTGAGAGCACTCTTCAGAAACTCAACTGTAAAATGGCATCTCAATAATTAGGAAGAGCTTGGAAGCTAGCCGATAAGGGTAAGACTCGAAAATTCTGCGAGTGAGAGTTTCAAAGCTGGCGCATATTCACGTTGGAACCAATCAGGTAATCTGACTGCCGATTTCCAGAGCATGAGGGGATCACATCTCTAGACTGATAAAAGACAGTGAAAACGCAATACCCGGAGGTGGTGAACCCATAAATCCAGTCAAAGACAATGGAAAGGACGTTCCATTGCCCGACTATGGAAAAATCCGATTAGCAATTAAACTTAGTGTGCCCTACCCAGTCCACAGAAAGAGAGACCCTACGTCTCTTTAATATCACATTAAAGATCTTGCTGGGCATAATGTGTGAAAGATTAACGGCTCACTGCTTGGATCTTATCACTTTTTTTTCAGACCTGGTAAATCCACCGTTGACTGGATACACCCCATCCACCAAACCTTGGAAATGGCCCTTGAAAAGGGGATCGAAAAATGAGTGTATTTTTCACCGATTTTAAGGCAGCCTTCAACGGCACTAACGCTGGACAATACTGTCTCCAGTGAACGATGAGAAGAAACATGAAACAAACGGTCGGCGCACCGAAGTTGTAGATCATTGCATGTATCTTGGAACCTGTTTCAACCCCAAAAACATTATCAACCTGAAAATCCAACGTGGAATCATACTTGCCAAAAAAGGCTACTTTGGACTGAGGCAATTGAAAAATAAAGTCCTCACTCGACGAACGAAGACCATAATCTACAAGTCGCTCATCATACCCGTCCTGCTATATGGTATCGAGTCATGGACAATGACAATATCTGATAAAACTTCGTTGGGAGTTTGCGAGAGAAAGGTTTTCCTTAATATTTATATTCGATGAAACGACGAGCTCTACGAGTTATGCGGCGATATCGAAAAAGTTCAAAGTATAAAGAAACGGCGACCGCGCTGGCTAAGCCATGTTCGAATGGATGAAATCGCTTCAGCCCTAAGCGTATTCGATGTAGCATAGACAGAAACAGAGGAAGGAGAAAACTTTCAGTCCATTAGAAGGATCAGATGGAGAGCGACCTGGCTTTACTTGTTATATTCAGAGCGCGCAAAATAACGGTAAATAGAAAGAAATAGCGTTATATTACTTATTGGACTATTATCGCGTCAGCGGTGCCTACACCTAAGATGAAGAAGAATAATGTCTTACAACAAGCTTCAGACGAAATTCTTAGCTGACAACTACGCACTCTCACATACAGGGAGGAAATATGTACGCTCGCCTTTCAGTACTCAAAATTTGTATATGCCTTTGGCCAGAAGTGATTCTATTCACCACAATCACATGCTTAACTATCCATGTACCCGCACACATACATAAACATTATTTCCTCGTTTATGAAACAGAAATTTCGCTTTGTTATTCATACAATACTTATGAAAAGCTTCTCATACCCCATGCTACCGCCTCTCTAAGCGTCTGTTGGAAAGCAAATCACTATTCTCACATTCATGCATTTACAGTTAGACAATGGAAAGTTTATTTGAATGTTATCACACACAGTTTGAGTATTTGAGTATTTGTTACATGAAACACAAACAACAAATGAATCATGATAATTATAATGACACATTTGAATAACAGTACACGTACAGTGGTGAGCAAAACATTCATGGAAAGTTTCAAACTCAAACACATCAGCATTCAGCACCATACTTATACCAATGCATATTTGATATATGTGTGTATGTGTGTATGTATGTATAGATGTATGTATTTGCACACCCAGCAACAAGCTACAATAGAAATACTCTTTAACTTCATCAAAGCATTACTTTGGAAGGATTAAGAGAAGCGGAAGTGGAAGTGTTGGAGCTCTTCTCATTCTCTGACTTTTAGTTAATATATTATATTAGATGAGGGGAATTTATATCGGTGAATGTGTCTAAAAGCGGAGACGGATCCTCTAAAGGAAACCAAACATTTAAACAGTTATATAAATATTATTAAACATCTATGATATATACATGTGTATGATATGATCCAATATGTGTGTATTGTGCTTAGATAATATTTACATATTTTTACTTACATATATAGTATACATACGTACATAGATTTACATATTTACGCCTTTCAATTTTACTGACAACGAAACTTACCAACTCTCACCGTTTATTTACATTTGTATGTCGGTGTGTGTTTGATATGTTTTGTCTGCGAATCAACTTTTGAAATTAAATTCAAATTTAATTGACTACAATAAGGAATGTGTGCATGTGGTGATGCATATTATATGATTCACAAACAATATATTTTACATAATAATTTGAGTGTTAACTGAATATACATATGTACTATATACATACCCTACGCGATAATCAAAAATTATAGCAATAAAATGAAAATTTAAATTAAAAGTAAAAATGAAAAAAAATAAAATGAAATTAATTTAAGTAAATATAAAATAAAATTAAAAAACATAAATCATAAAATAAAATAAAATCAAACAAGCAGGATGGAGTAATGTGTAGAAGTGCGAACTTTTCGACTGCCCTTCACCGGGAAGTGACCACAAATGATTCTTTAAGACATGGTTCAAGCAGGCCACGACTTCTGGTCTTAGACCAAGTACGCTCTGGAGGCAAGCTAAAGTGAGAAAGCGAATTCCCCTACGGTTGTGCGTAGGATTTTGGGCCCAACACTTGAAAAACTTGCTCCAATCACACAAAACCTCTTATCGCAGAGTCTTCTTTTCATGACGACCCCCTTAAGTGTTTTAAGGATTACGAATGTCCGGTCCCTTAATTGAGTAGATGGCGCTGCCTGGCTGAATGATGTGTTAGTAAAGTTAAATGCTGACATCACCGCTACCCAAAAAGTACGTTGGACGGCACAAGGACGGATATGAGTAGGTTATTGTAACATTTACTATAGTGACCATACAAAGTAGCGCAAATTGGATGTTCGATCTGTGGTAGGAGAGAGACTCCATCGCCAGAGTTCGCATCAAAGCCAAATTTTTCAACATGGGCCCACGTCCCATAGAAGTGAAAGACCATGTAACCAAAGACGCTTTCTATAATATATCTGGTGAAAGTTCGAAATCGATCATATTTTGATTGCCGGAAGACAATTTACGAAAAGATGCGGCAACAGAAGGTTTCAAGACTGGGGCTCTATCCAATCCTCCACATAAAGTTCTATAAAGCATATTGTGTGAAATACTATAGCTCGTCGTCAACAAGCAGACTGGACCTTATCAGTGTGGTTTTAGACCTGGTAAACCCATCACTCACCATAAATTCATCATGCGACAGATCTTGAAAAAAAACTGTAAGAAAAGTATCTATGCAGATCACTTTTTCATTGATTTTAAATCTGTCAGCTTCTACGTCGCTTTTTCTAAATTTGGTATTCCTAAACAAAAGCGCAGCCAGAATTCTTTCATTACCAAACGAAGTTTCAAACAGCGTGACTCTTCATCGTGTGGTTTCTTCAATTTTATGCTGGAGATAATAAGAGCTAATTAAACAAGACACATTCTTTTACAGCTGCTGTCTTATACCGGCACCATAGTTCTGCCTTGACAGCAGTGCAGTTAGAAGGTAAGCCTTCTCCAAGCTTGGAGAGGAACCGAGGCAAATAGGTCTGACCTTGAACGAGGACAAGACCTGTCACCAAACAAACAGTCGACGAATTGTTATTGTTGACAGTCATAACTTTGAGGTCGCTGGTTATTTCGTCTATCCGGAAACCAGCATAAGCACTAGTAATAATAACAGTTTTCTAACCCAACGTAGAAGGACATTTGCTAGGTAGTTGGAAAGTAAAGTCTTCTCTCGACGAACGAAATCGCAACTCTACAAATTTTTTTTTCTCAGATTGACCTTCTTCATTACTGTGGATAAATCGAAATCAAAACTCTTTTGTTAGAAATGATGTTTTGCAGAAAAAAAATATGGTTTTCGATCTGGCATCCATTGATGGAGTTGCTGATTTATGCCGACCACATAGCCGTGGACGATAATTAAATAATATTTACTGAAAACCAATCAGCAGCCATTCGTCCATATTTTACCACACAGTAATAAATCTTTATGTGCATTTTTATTTATTTATGCAAATTAATTTAACAAAAACTTAAAATAAATTATTCCGTATGTTTTATATTCACATTTAAATTTATCTTGCAATTTGTAATGTCAATAGTTCAATTGCTTAATTCAATTTTATTTACCACCAAAAAAAGATTTATTTCGTTTGCCATATTTCAAAATACTTATGCGAATTCATAGCGACTACGAACCTTTTTAAATATGTTAATTATTACATTTTAATTCATAGGCAAAAGATGCCGAGTGAAATTAAATGGATTTGACGAAGCAGTAATAAATTATTCTTTAATAATTAAAATATTTCTCAAATAAAAAAATTTCTCAATAAAATCCATTATAATTATGTATTATAGATACTATACTCATGCATATATCTGTATATATGTACTAAAATAAATGGTGTGTTTTTGAATTTATTCAATTTCTCTTTGTTTATTTTTATTTTACTTTTAGCAATGAAAAATTCTACACATGCTGCGATGAACCTTATCTGGATATAACATTTAATATCACAATGCGCCGTAAGACGCTCTTCTATACCGTTAATCTCATTATACCCTGTATGGGTATTAGTTTTTTAACAATATTAGTTTTTTATCTGCCATCGGACAGTGGCGAAAAGGTATGTATGCATGCAGATTTCGATAATACTATTAAATTTTGAAGGTTAAAAATAAAAAATTCTCCCCTTGTTTATATATTATTTTATTTTATCTTGTTTTAGCTCAATTTATAGTTTTAACTTACCTTATTTTATTTTTTATAATTTAATTTAATTTAATATATTTTATTTCAATATTTTTCTTTTTATATTTTGTTTTTATATCACAATTTTTTACTTGTTTCTTATTTATTTATTTTTTTTTTTTTTGGTATTTTATTGCATTTTTTTATTTTAGTTTATTTTATTTGCTTTCATTTATATATATATATATATTTAGTTTGAATGCTTTTATTTTATCTTATTTAATGCCAATTTTCTGAAGTATTTTATTTGATTATACACCATATTTTTTATATCGTTTTTATTTCATTTCTTTTTTATTATTCTTTCTTATTTTACTCAATTCTGCATTATTTAAAATTTATATTTTGTAAATTTTTAATTTTATTAAATTTTATCTTTTTTTATTTTACTTTATTCTATTCAAATTAAATTTCAATTATTTTTTTATGTTATTTTATTTTATTTTATTTTATTTTATTTTATTTTATTTTATTTTATTTTATTTTATTTTATTTTATTTTATTTTATTTTATTTTCTCTTATTTTATTTTATTTTATTTTATTTTATTTTATTTTATTTTATTTTATTTTATTTTATTTTATTTTAATTATATTAACCCTGGTTTATTTTTTTGTTAATTTTCAATTCATTTTCTTTATTTTTTTATATAATATTTTTTTTTTCGTTTTGCGTTTTATTTGTTTTAATTTTATTTTATATATTTAATTTTATTTTATTTTGAATTTTGAAATTTATGTAATTCTATGTCATTGTATTTAATTTTTTGTTATTTCAGTTTTATTATTACTATGATTTTCAGTTAATTTTTTTATTTATTTGGTTCATTTCAATTTTTTTGTTGTTTTAATTAATTTTTTTTAAATTTTTTGTCATGTCCTTTTATTTATTACCAATAAAATGAAATAACATGTTCTTTTAAAATAATATTTTCCTTTCATTTAATTTATTTAATGGCACTCATTTTATTAGCATGAAGTAATTAAAAAAACACCACAATTTATAGTCTCAGCACCACAAATAATGAAAAAGAAAACATTATTAATGTGTCAAATACATTTTACTTGAACTCAATCTCATTGCCTTTAGAAACTCCATTAACAGGTTTTTACATCAACCCGAAGTTAACTAAATTGATTAAAAATTCACATGTTGTACAAATATGATCAAAAAATCTTGCTTACTATATGTTAATTTATACATATTCGCATAAGCAAATGCAAAAAATATTGTCATTAACTTACATTGCCACTGCAGTTCGCAACTATCGACTGCCACTGCGTATGAGTGATGAATAAATATTAGTTTCCTCTCTCTCTCTACATACCGTTAAAATCATTAATAATTTAGTAAAAACTTGATTTGTTTGTCAACGAAGCGACAAAATGTAAATTGTAAATCAAATACAATAAAAACAATGCACTTCAAACAAGCAGCAGCGCAATAAATACGACGAGACAGGAAATACTCCATGCACATTGAATAGTCTTTTGTATTTGTATTTTGCTTTTTATATGGAAAACATTTGAATTGTAGCCACAAAACCGCAATCCACAAAAGCCTATTTATAGCCGAGAATTATTTCGAGATTATCAATGTAATTTTAATATAATTCCAAGCGAACATACCAATGCACATGTGCGCGGTCACGTATGAAAAAATAGAAACAAGTACTAAAAGCTTTTGGTCATATGGAAAGCGCTCAAAGGATATAGGAACAAGTTTCAAGTGGCTCACAAACTTTCGGCTAAACGCAATGAATTTTCCTAAAAATACTTTTGAAACTGAGCAAACTTTGAGAAGACCAGCGCAAACTGAGTGCAAACTTCGTTTTTACTATTGAAAAAGTCTTCCATGGGAGAGTTTTGCTTTGCAGTTTATAAAACTAAAATATTAGTTAAATTTAGCGGTTGTGATGGTTTTTTAAAGTAGATTACGTTGCGAAGGAAGAGGACTGTGTGAGTCTCTAATATTGATTAAACAGTTGTCTTATCAAGAGAGTTTTTCCATGTTGAGTGGTAAGATATCTTTAGCTCTGGCGAAACTCCGCCGGCATGATGAAATTTTCTAATGGATCGAACTATCTATCAAAACCTGATTGCGTACGATACTTGGCTTTAGTTTTAGAGGCCATGTCGTGTCCAATTCATAGAGTAACAGATATTGGAAAACGCCCTTAAGTGGATTTTAAACTCCGTAAAATGTATACAGTTTCGTAAGCCAATGCTGAGTCCCAGATGGGGCTTATAATCTGTATTGGAAAAGACTACTCTCCAATCCTTCTTACTCTTTAGTGTGCCTTCTTCAATTTTATGTTGGAAAAAATTCAAAATACAGATCTAAAGAATGAAAGTATAATCAGCTATAACAGCAAAGAATTACTGGCGCTTGCCGATATTATCGACCCCAACAACAGTTAGCTCCATCAAGTTCTTTCTCAACGAACAAAGACAATACTCTTCGAGTCGCTTATCACTCTCGTATTGCTCTATGGTGCGTAGGCATGAAAAGGAACGATAACTGACGAGTCACCGTTAAGAACTTACGAGAGCGAGGCGTAAGATTTATGATCTTTTGTGTATGAGCGATGCCAAAAACCGCAGCCGATGGAAGACTTCTTATCTGAGTGATTTGACAACTGAAAAAATCCGCCCCCTGTGAAGAAAAATCAGACTAAATGAGTCGCTGATCATACACAAGCTGCTTTACGGCGCTGAGGATGAGATGGCATTTAGAAGTTTGGGGAAGAGTTATGATCCTTTACATATATTAAAGACATGAAGACAATGATGTAGCCCAGTGAAATGAGATCCAGCGATTACTTTAGCTAGTCCATGCTGTTGCTCAAGCTTTGATAGAGGAGGACCGACACTCTGGTTGGCGGCTTGCTACTTCTGTCACATCTCTAGCGAGAACGAGAACGGTTCCATGTTAAATATGGGGAAATAAAGAACTTAAAACTCATATTCTCTAAGCTCCACTATATGTGACTATTTACATATAATTTGTATAATATCATTTGGGATATTGCATTTCGTTTTGGCACCATGCACCATCCAGTACGCTCATTTTCCTACTGAGAGGGCGTAGAATCCTTTAGAGGATTGAGGTAATCTCTATCACCACAAGCGTCAGATACATAAATCTTGGTGATTGTATGCTTTCCGGGCACTGTTCAATTAGTATCAGCTGCAGCTAGAAGTCCGTCTATAGACTGCCAATTCAACAAATAAAGACGTGGACAGCTCCAAGAAACCACCAATACAGGTGGACTATACATTAAGACCACAAAGTTTACGGATATCGTTTTTTCGACATCCGCTGTTGTTTAGTTCATCATGAATTCATTCCAACTGGAGAGACGGTCAATAAATAGTATTATTTGAGCATTTTGAGGCCAACAATTCATCGGTTTTTCATGAGGATAATGCGCCATCGCACCAAGCTTTACTTGCGAATGTTTTTTAGAACAAATACCATCGATCAACCACCGGATTTACCGGATTTTACCCATGCGACATTTTTTTTTTGTTTCCAAGCTACCACGTTCTGGAACCCTTATCGCCTCGATTGAACCCGTAAAAAAAATTAGCAGAGGGAACTGATAAACTATAAAACTTACAACTCAGGTGCTGAGCCCACAATGCAAGTCTACATTCGGAGCTAAGCTTTCAGCTGTATTTGAAGCCTAACGAAGTACGCACTACTGCTGTTTTCCGAGCTGCTCTTTCTCATTAAACCTCTTAAATTTTGCTGAGTGGAATTTTTAGGCAACGCCTCATTAAAGCCTGTGATAGCGTCCCATCGACGCTGTTTGTCTCATTTAATGCTGCCTCATACCAATACCAATGCCAGACGTGACAAAAGATACGCATCGACATTTTGCTTGCCACGCTGATAAACTCCCGCACATTCACCTGTAAGCCAACGGCAGTGAAAGCGTGTGTTTGTAAAGCTTTTGCCATGGCATGTGCCAAAATAAGCAGCGAACAACGCACGCATGCCGCTGGAGAGCGAAAACAAAAAAAAAAGACGAAACAAAACAAAAGGAACAAAATGTTTTTGATGCAACGTTCAGGTGTCCGCAGAACCAGTTGATAGCGTTTTCCCTACAAGTGCGATTGCCTGCATGCATTTACCTATATATGTATGTAAATCGGTGTGTAAATGTTGGAGTGTATGTGCGCGTTCATGGAACCACATGCGTGTACTTTCACTTGTCTCAATGGGTTTTCAAATATTTGGTGGCACGCGTGCAGAATCGCCACAAAAATGTTGTGACAATCAAGACCGCCGCACGAACGCCGCTCCTCCGTCGTCCGACTTTCCAGTTACATGGAAGTCGATCCAACGATGGTGCTCAACAAGGGAATCGCGCGCGCTATGCTGTAGTGTCGTTTTGCATAATTGAGGTAACAGCCGCTAACGTGGCTGGCATGGCGGTGGCACTTCGATTGTTGTTGTTGTGTTTGTTGTAGACGTTAATATTACTCGATTCGAGACTGTCTTTTTTTCTTTCTTTGTGGTGCCTAGGGACACTTTCGCACTTTATTTAGCAACGTAATTGAGTACTACTCAGGGATGTTGAACAAGTTTAAGGAAACAGGATTTGACAACTAGTTAAACACAAACTAGTTCCATACCAGCACAACTAGGACCCACTCCAACCTAATCATGTTTGTAATCTATACACTTTTAGTGGTTTTTTTACTTCTTAAGATAATATATAATATTTCCATAAAAAATTATCAAACGCAAAGTAGTTACATACTAGTAAAATTCGGACCCATACAAGCTTTATCGTCTTTTTTGGTTTATACACCTTTAGTGGCGTTTGTACTGCTACAGGAAGTAGAAAATTTTTGTAGAAAGTAAATCCAAAACTAGTTCCATACCAGTACAATTTGGACCCATACTAATTTTATTATCTTTTTCACTTTATTTACATTTAGCAGTGTTCTTTTATGATTATCTTACGTCATCTATGAGGTTTATTGCTTTTATTTCAGTTTCCTTTTCATTTTTTGGCCTTTACTTAGTTATGTACTCATACATATTTAACATCTCTTTTCCTTCAATTACAGGTCTCATTAAGCATATCCATTTTACTCTCACTGACTGTGTTCTTTTTGTTGTTGGCCGAAATTATTCCACCAACATCGTTAGTTGTGCCACTTTTAGGGAAATTTGTGCTCTTCACAATGATACTGGACACGTTCAGGTGAGTCGTTTAACATACGTACACGCATATTTATTTATATACCAGTTTATATTTGAAACATATTTCCATTTAATGGTAAAATTTTATTAAATGTTTGTAGGGACACATACATACATATATACTTATGTACATTTTTATTATTATCCCAAAAATACTTGAAAATTTCCAAACAAGGATATCGTAACCTTTTTAAGATATGTTCTTAAGAGACTGTAGCCGCCGCGGTTGCAACCAGCTTCTTCTCCTCTTAGTTTTTCCAATGGAGGGCAAATCTTACCCATCCACTAGTTCCACTGGCGGGTACTGCTTCGAAAACTCTCAAAGCTAAGATGTTCTCATCCTTACTAACTTTATGACATAGCCAACGTAGCCGCTATCTCTTAATTCACTGAACTATATTAATGTCGCCGATAACTCGTACAGCTAATCGCTCCATCGGCTGCGATATTTGCCGTTCCCAACTCGGAGAGGACCGTAAATCTTCCACAAAAACTTTATATCTAAAACTCTTACCACTCTCATCACTGACTCATCAGATGTTGTCATTTTCCATACGTCGACACCATATAAGCAGGACGGTAATGATGAGTGACCTATACAGCTTGCTCTTTGTCCGTCGTGAGAGGACTTTACTTTACAATTCCCTGCTCAGTCCAAAGCAGCTCCTGTTGGCAGGAATGATTCTGCAATGAATTATAAGCTGGTATCATATGATAAGGAGTCGCCTTGCCTGAAGTCTCGTTTGGTATCGAAAGAACCGAAGATGTGCTTACTACTTTTGATATTAACCCAGAGGTAGCCCTATTCCTGCTGTTGAAGGCTGTTTTAATTGAAATCGGCTATACATCCCCTTGTGTATAGATTCTCTTTACGGGTCTTTTTTTTAACATTTGGCGCATGGTGATTTGCGTCAATGGTGGATTTATCAGGTTTAGGGACACAGTGATAACGTATAATCCCCTTGTTGACGAACGGATTTAGCCTTTCACTCTAGATAACACCTTAAATGTGTTAATGAGTCGATTGAGGACATCCCAGTCGAAGTGTTCTAGAAATGCTCCGCAGCAACGAACTGGAATCGTTATTTATTGTGAAGCTCTCTCAACCAGTCGAGGCATCTGCTTGTTCCTTATACTGAAGAGTGTTCGATCTTGGCGTGCGACCAGGATATTGAAAAGTTATATCCGAAGCTGAAGACTAACTTCTTCGCTACTTCATCATCATAAATCTAAAACTCTCCCCCACAAAATGTACATCGTCCGTTGCTTATCAAAGTTTTTTTATAGAAAAACTCCCACGATCAATAGCCCATAGTTGCTGGACGAGACAACCAAGAAGCAGCACTCCTTCACTCCGCATACAAAGATAAATAGCTTCAATCATTGTTTATGGCAAGTTTTTAGACAGTCAGGCGGCCAGTCATCCAAGCAGATGAGGATTGTTTTGTAAAGGAGAAATTTCTTAATATTTTTCATATAGTTTCTTAAGAGATATCTGCGCTCGCACTTAACGAATCTTCTGCGATGCCTATACAAGTATCACCATCCACCACTTGCCTTAAGCCCAGCTGCCTCTCGCCAGGCACATCAACAAGAATGCGTGCATGACTTTACACACTCAGTACTCAGCAAAAGCTAAAAATAAAACCGCTAAACAGAGCTTGACATCGACCGGTCTTAAATAACATTCTCAGTGAATCAATTAATATCATATTCAACTCTCTTTTCAAACGCAAAATCCCAAGCTCCCCTGCATTCACACAATTCAAATGGGGATACCCTGCAAGCGATCGGAAACTGACTTGACACCAATCACCGCTTTACAAGTGCTCTTCAACCAGCTCATCGACCACCATTCTCACTTTGCTCGGCACTTGTCGAAGTGAATGAGCCCTCAATGACGTCGACCAGTTCTACTTTTATTGTTTGCCACAAAAGGAATATAAAATTCTGGCCAGAATACTAACTTAAATTATGTAAAATAATGATAATCGATATGATCGAAATAACGAGCCGAGTTATTTTACCCATGTCCGTCTGTCTGTCTGTCTGTACGCCAACGAACCCCTCACTTTTTGAAGTGGTACAGATATGCAACGAAGGGATAACTAAAGCATATATGAGACCTTTTTTTAATTTGAGATTTCGGGTTATAAAACCGTTAAAAAAGAATCCAAGGGCATGAAATTTGGTATAAAAGTATTCGTGTTCACAAATAAACATTACCAATGAAAATTATTGAAATGGGAGGACTGAACTATATTGAATGATATGGTCATGAAAGGTACAAAGGCTGAGACATTGCCTAAGACATTTCTTTTTTCTTGTTCTTTTGCTGTTGTTGTAACCGCGGGAGTGACAGTCCTTGGCCCTAAAAAAAAATCCGGATCGTTCCATTAAAAAAAACGACTGTCGCGGGAACTATTGGATTTTAGCCGCCTCTTACAAGAGTCTTGCCTTACCGTGTTCAAATTCTGGAACCCCTAACCGCAGAGAATGTCAACCGATTCGAGTACTTCATAAAAAGCTCTGCATAAAAATCCATCAGCCGTTCGAAAGTGGCTGGTGGTGGCCGAAAATCGCTCCAAATAACGAGGAACCTGAGAGAGTGCAAACATCCAGCATCAACGTCAGGATCAGTGTTCCCTCTTTTTAATCCTCAAAATTTCAATGAACGTGAACGACGCCAGTAAAAACAGTTAACTAAATAAATTTCCCCTCAAAAGTAGGGAAATTAATTTCAATTATTTACCGATGAGGACCTCAAGCTCAATAACCTAGTTATTAACCAAGAGTTAAGTGGGTGTAGTTTTGACCACTTAGGGGATCCCTAAACTCCATTCGATTGCCTTGTACCGTTGGCCCGCAAATCGCTTCAATGCCGACGGCTAGCGCCATTGAATCAAGAGGCGAGAAAATAAAACTGAGACGAAAATAAATTTTCCCACTAAATTGCATTTAAGTTAATAACACATTTTTCTTTTCACACAACTTTTGTCACTTTCAAAATTATTTGTTACCTCTTTTCATATTCTATAAACATACTTTCGCAAATTTTGTGCAAAACTTTTCACCGAACTCGGTCCGTTTCGCCGCCATCGTTTGTGTGTACGTTCGGCAGCCATTCACTAAGTTATTTGTTATTGTCATGCTGACGGAAACTGGCGTTTTTTCGGAAATGTTGGTGAATTTCTCAAATTTCGCGAAAAATGCAATGACTTTGGCGTTTTGCCCAGCGGCAAGCAACAACAACAACAGCAAACGATAGCCGAATTGGCGTTAAACGCGTTTGCGGTGTGGGATTTCGTGTTGTTGGCATGGGTAACTTTGGCGTTGGTGTTGCTGCCTAAAAAAAAAAAAGAGGAAGAGAAAAAGAGAAATTCTAAAAGAAAAAGTCTTTTAAACTTTTTTCATTACAAATAAATGCTTGGCAATGCTGTGTGGCAAGTAAACAACTGTCGATTTCTTCTTTACATATGTATACGGGTATGTATGTATGCGCTGGTGTATGTGTTCATGACTTTTTTCCATACCCTATTTATTATATATAATATATAAACTTCTGGCAACACCTTTGGCTGCAATATAGTGGCACAACAATACGGCAGCCAACCAAGCCAGTTCATACGTTATGAATTTTTCACACATGTACGATCACAACGGGTGACTGCACCGCATGCCACGAAAGCGTGAAGGTGAATAAAATGCGCGTTTCATGTATAACAGTAAATAAATTTAATTTCGTGTAGAGATTGATTTTTATATAGTACTCGTACGCAAGGTATATTAAGTTTGTTCAACTAACGGTTACATATGCTCGTACGTTCAGTTATATAGAAATAAATAGACGAAACTTCATAAAAACTTGATTTGTATATCCATCGCTTACGCGATTAAATAAGATAAGAGAAAATCATGAAATAAAAATACTTAATATTGTAAAGGTAGGTGGGGCTCAAGTCCTGATCGGACCAACTTTTGAATATTTTAAAAAAAATTTTAGTAAAATAATCAAGACCATTTTTCTAATTGCGATCACCCTCAAGTCTTTTTCTAACATGAAATAACGGCTCCTCAAAATCACTCCAGTGCCTATAAGTGGTCAAAAATATTTATTATTGTAATTATGTCTACGTATCTATTTTTCCATCCAAATCGATCAATTTAAAACTATTTTATTTTATCAATTTTATATTAACTAATTCGACTTTATTCCACATTTTTCTATATTTTTTATTTCACATAATTTCATATCTTTATTTTATTTTGCTATTTTTTATTTTATTTCTTTCCAAATTATATTATTTTATTTTCCTTAATTTAATTTTTTTAATTTTTAATTTATTTTATTACTATTATTTTTTATTTTTATTTTATTATTTTTTTTTTAACAAGATTTTTTATTTTTTTTTTATTTTACTCTATTTTATTTTATTTTATTTTATTTTATTTTATTTTATTTTATTTTATTTTATTTTATTTTATTTTATTTTATTTTATTTTATTTTATTTTATTTTATTTTATTTTATTTTATTTTATTTTATTTTATTTTATTTTATTTTATTTTATTTTATTTTATTTTATTTTATTTTATTTTATTTTATTTTATTTTATTTTATTTTATTTTATTTTATTTTATTTTATTTTATTTTATTTTATTTTATTTTATTTTATTTTATTTTATTTTATTTTATTTTATTTTATTTTATTTTATTTTATTTTATTTTATTTTATTTTATTTTATTTTATTTTATTTTATTTTATTTTATTTTATTTTATTTTATTTTATTTTATTTTATTTTATTTTATTTTATTTTATTTTATTTTATTTTATTTTATTTTATTTTATTTTATTTTATTTTATTTTATTTTATTTTATTTTATTTTATTTTATTTTATTTTATTTTATTTTATTTTATTTTATTTTATTTTATTTTATTTTATTTTATTTTATTTTATTTTATTTTATTTTATTTTATTTTATTTTATTTTATTTTATTTTATTTTATTTTATTTTATTTTATTTTATTTTATTTTATTTTATTTTATTTTATTTTATTTTATTTTATTTTATTTTATTTTATTTTATTTTATTTTATTTTATTTTATTTTATTTTATTTTATTTTATTTTATTTTATTTTATTTTATTTTATTTTATTTTATTTTATTTTATTTTATTTTATTTTATTTTATTTTATTTTATTTTATTTTATTTTATTTTATTTTATTTTATTTTATTTTATTTTATTTTATTTTATTTTATTTTATTTTATTTTATTTTATTTTATTTTATTTTATTTTATTTTATTTTATTTTATTTTATTTTATTTTATTTTATTTTATTTTATTTTATTTTATTTTATTTTATTTTATTTTATTTTATTTTATTTTATTTTATTTTATTTTATTTTATTTTGTTTTATTTTATTTTATTTTATTTTATTTTATTTTATTTTATTTTATTTTATTTTATTTTATTTCATTTTGTTTTATGTTATTTTATTTTTTTTAATTTATCTTAAAGACAAGCTTAATTTTTTTCTTTCCATTCAATTTCTCTCCTTCATGCACATTCACTCCCTATTAGTTAGTGAACTTAATTTACATTCCGTCCACTCCAATGCGTTCCCTTTCCCCCCGTTCCCCACAAATTCCTACCACAACAGCGACAGTCCTTTTCGTACGAAATAAAGCCACATTTTTAACGCGCTCATCAACTCAGTCGTCGGACTGTTGTTACACGCATCTACGGTGACAATACGGTGCCACCTGCTCATTAAAAATCATTGTTCTACCGCTGATTTTAGTGACCATCAAGTTGCCGGAGACAACATCTGCTGCTGTGGCATTATCCCGTCGCGCGGTAATGACCGGTATGAAGTGTCAACGTCGTCGAAAATCCCATCGACAACTCATTTTTTTTGTTGTCCATCTCTTGTTTCTCCTCTTTTGTGCTGAAGTTTGTAAAACGGCTGCTGCTACTGTCATCTGGGATGTCGCTTACTTTCGCTGTGATAAGCGGCATGTGCGCTCGCTCATCCTAATTAAGTCGCGCCCAGATGCAGGTAATTTTACAATGTAGTCAGGTATGAAATGGACGAAATTTGTACGAGTAGTTGTGTTGTAATTACAAAGGCATCTGCAAATCTGATATAGTGATTATAGAGGAAATTTTGTGGTACAAAAAGATATACTTCGGACTAGTGAGATTCGATGTGATAGTGATATTTAAACCAATGGATTACTTTTTATTAATTACAATACTAAAAGATCAATCACTAGCATTTTTAATATTTAGATACATTTTTTAACAAATTAAACTTCTTATTTTTAGCTTTTCAATTTTGTTGGTAGCAAAATCTCTATTGCTTCTTCTCTGTTTTCTTCGTTTCTATCTCTGTTCTCTATTAGCCATATTACTAACAGATTGTTCAAATTTTTATAATTCCCTCGGTCAATAAAAGGACGAACAAAATGATTGTGTTTTCAATTATTCAGTACAAAAACAATCACACGTCGAAAAAGCCCCATCCCCATACGAGTGTAGAGAAGTCAAACACTTGTAAAATTTCTATATGTAGCTATTGTACAAGCATACGAGGGCTTGCTATACAAATATTTTTATTGCAAAATGTTGCATATACGTGTATACATAGAGATTTTTTACTATGGATGCAAGCCACTTGATCCATCAACCACAAATAATTCATTGAATGGTTGTTAAAAAAAATTGCCGATGGGAGAGCAATTTCATTGAATAAAAATTTTATGATTTAAAAAATACACAGATATTCCAATACATCTACATACGTGTATTTGTATATACGTTTGTGTAAAAAAAACTTGTACATTTTGTATTCGGCGTGTAAAATTTTATTTGATGCCATTCGGGTGGAAGATTTTTAAATGAAGAAAATATTGTAGCTTAAAACATACATAGATTTTATTTTCCCTGATAAGAGAATTAAAAAAAATAAAAAGCGCATTTAATTAAGAAATAAGAATTTAAATTAAGGCTCTCCATTTGTTGGAAAAACACCAAGACGCAAAACCAATTCAATTTATTTTTCAATTGATGCTTTCATTTGATTTTTCAATTTACTTTATTTTATTTTGTTTTTATTTATATTTTATTTCAAATTTAACATTATTGTTGTATTTTTTTTTTCAATTCATTTAATTTGAAATAATGATTTCATCTCATTTTGTTTAGTTTTTTAAATCATTTTATTTTAACCTTATTTTATTTGTGTTTTTAATTTTATTTGCTTTAATTTATTTAGTTTTTTATCTGGCTTTATTTTATTTTATGTTATTTCATTTTATTTCATTTTAATTTAAATTCTTTTATTTTATTTTATTTTATTTTATTTGATTTTATTTTATTTTATTTTATTTTATTTTATTTTATTTTATTTTATTTTATTTTATTTTATTTAATTTTATTTTATTTTATTTTTTTTTTTTTTTTTTTATTTTATTTTTTAATTTTATCTTGATTTATACTTTTTATTTTTGTTTGGTTTACTTTACTCTATTTATTTTTAGCTTATTGAATAATTCTGCTTGAACTCACCCTTTGTTGGTTCATCTGCAATGAATTCTCTACTCATGATTTGCAATGGAAAAGGTCGTACGCCCATCAATGTACAGTTTTATCTACATACTATATATATATAGATATATTGAAATAAATGGGAATTTTTCTAGTTTGTCCTTTGCTTTGACTAGAGAATGAATGAATGTGTGAATGAGTGTACCAGGGCATGCATGGAGCACGCAGCAATTTCCGATACATGTAAAAGAGAGCAATGAAAAAAATCTCTTCGAGTGCAGTACATCATCAATTTCCCCGAAGTAATTTATAAATATGTATGCGTGTTCAGCTGCTATCTCTCTGCATTTCTCCCTTTCAAATATATTTACGTGCGATTTTTTCATATTTATGGTTTTTCTATTTTCTGCAATTTGTAATGCTTTCCGGTGTGCCGTTTCGGACGTAACATCGCATTCACCATTGCATGCAACGCTGGTTGATCTCGCACGTATATCTACTTACCACAATGTCCACATGTCCAACATCACCACACCACATGGATTGGCATTCTAATGCCGCGCGAACACACACGCTCGCTTGGCATGCATTCCGGCCTGCATGGAACCTACGGCGGGACCACATTGTAGTATATGTGTGACGGTGGTAGTGCTCAATATACATTTCCGCTCGCCACAGACGCACACCATGGCGCCCTGGGTGCGAACGGTGTTCATCAATCAACTGCCTCGCTTTCTGGTCATGCGACGACCACTGTATCCCATTAGTGAGATGATGTGAGTATGCAGGAACTACGTGGGGAGAGAGAGAGAATCATAAAAAATGTTAATTAAACAACTAAATCAATTTGTCTTAAATTTTTAATCAAATTTCTTCAATTCAATTTCTTCATTTCTTTGGGGCAGTAAATCATCTCGCCGCCTGATGGTTCGCACCTGCAATGGATTTGAGTTGGGCGACCAAATACCACCAGTACCACCGCCAGCGGCTTTGTCAAGGTATAATAATTCACACTTGCTTCTTCTTCTTCTAACTCTCATATTTCACCTAATTTCAATCTTCTCTTCCACAGAATGCACCATAGCCCGAAGACAACGTCGCGTAGTACCTCGCCACATCTGCAGCATCGCGTGCAGAGCCTCAATCTGCTGGACGACACGACGATCGGTGGACTGGGTATGACTTCCACGGGTACTGCCTCCGCCGGCCAGTTTTCCACACTATACCCCTCCACTATTTCCACTGTGAATCAACAAACATCGACCACATCATCGCTTGTGGATGCCCAACATCATAGTCAATATCAACAAACCGGCGGTTCACTACTCGATCATCCGTTAACGCCAACGAAATTTCGGCAGCAAAAAACTTCCACATCTGTACAAACGAACGGCTTCGACGGACCATCCACCTCACAATTCGGACGACTATACCAGCAACACCAACAACAACTGCCCAGTGGCGCCATATCGGCGTCTACTTCGACGCTGCATCACGTACACACGCATTCCGTGGGTGTGGGCGCGGGTATAGGCATCGGAGTAGGTTATGGTGCGGCCAGCACCTCTACGCATCACCTCTATCGCCAACAGTCCGCCTCATCTGCACAATTTTCGCCCGTCCCTGCACCATTACATCCCCACCAGCAACATCAGTCGACAACGACATGCGATCTGCTGGGACACAGTAATGCGAATGTGATAAAGTCAACGACCACAGTGAACTCAGTGGCGACCGCTTCAACACTCGCGGACTCCTGTTGCAGCGGCATACAAATACATCAAGGCGCGGGCGCAGGTGCGGCGTGCCAATCGTCAGAACAGCTACCGCATCAATATACCGCCGCTGCTGCTGGTGTCAGTGGACAGGGCGGAGTAGGTGGCGCCCTGCCGCGTGAAATACTGCCAGCGTGTCAACGTGAAGATGGCGCGCATTGTTGTCTGGCGGCCGAAAGTGAGGGTTGCCCAATCGGCAACGAATTGCGGCAACGTTGGCCAGCCTGTCCTGAACTGCTCAAAGCCATGGAGGGTGTGAGCTATATAGCGGAACAAACGCGCAAGGAGGAGGAAAGCACAAGGGTGAGTACGCAATTGCTACGTAGAAGAAGATGAAGAAGAAGAAGAACAAGTGGCTAAAGTCTTTGGTTCGCGATTTAGTTGACCAAAATCGAAGTTCGGCCAATAAACCTGAAAGGACCATTAATAAAATTGCGGCAATAATAGTGGTACCGGTCGTAAATTAAAATGTCGGTTGCTTGTACTTCAACGTGCGTGGGCCACAACAGCTTTAAGGCTATTAAATTTATTGCGCAGAGTCGGCAGTAAAATATAGATGAACGCCGTCTGGGGAGCCGAAAATTACTTACACTCGTATGCTCTCAACTGTTTTGCGGGTAGAGTCGGCTTGATGTTCAGAGATGCTGCTCAGACTGCAGCTCGCCCAATTCCAGCCGAATGTCATTATCGTAAATATTATTTTAAAGAAATTAGATTTGAAAATTAAATTAGAATTTCAGAACTCGCTTTTTTTTTTGATTAAATGTAAGTCCGTTGGTATTTGACTCGCATGCCTGTTTTCGGCAAGCCCACCACGGATGCTATGTTAAGGCCCGCATGTGGAAGCATTCTCTTACTACACATTTGTGGATGTAGTGATGTGGAGAAGTAGTAGACTAGCTCGGAGAGAGTTTACAATTAACAATGACTAGAGTTTGCTAGACAGAGCAGCTACTTTGGGAATGTTTCATTATTATTATTTTTTTTTTCAGTACTGGAATTTTCTAATATGATCGGTTCCATAGGGAAGGGTACTGCTAACTATGAATCAATCTGGCGCATCGGAGTGTTTTTCTGGCATGAACTAAAAGCTTCCGATAAAAATCCATCATCCATATGAAGACGACATAGTATAAGCTATAGATTCCCCCTCATATTGTAAGCACAGTAAGGCTTGTCCGAAGACAGAGGCTGTATGAAGACCCTGGTGTACCCTTAAAGTTCCTCCTCTTCTGTTGTTTGCAGTATCGTGAAGTGGGATTGCGCTCCTTTTCAGCGAAGACCGACGATGACGTAAGAATCGAAATTCAATATAGCTTCTCGACTTGCACCTCATCACTAAATTATAGCCGAATCAACACGACCTCGTATATCTCTCAACTAATTATTTCATCGACTTAGGTTTTTAGTCGCCAATTGGGGACTTTAATTTTCAATCGCCGACTAAGTCCAAAGTCGCATGTGTTAGCTAGAGTGATTCTGTGCTGGAGGTAGTGCTCATAAGTACACTCTAAGCTCTTATAAAAATACCGTTTTATCACATAGTCGTCTTCTTCGGGATCCTTAAAACGGTTGCTGAGTCGTCTTTAAATGGAGGAGAAGGTCTTTTGTAAATGGCCGTCAAAAAGCTCACTTACATACCTGAACTTCTACACATAGCCTCATCGTCAAGCTCGTTACACTACTGTTGAACCAATTAATCGCTTGGTTTTATGAGCATAAGCATTAGCGCTGCATACACCAGTCGAAAAAAAGAAGAGCAGTGCCTACTGAAAATTCAAAGCCAAACATCTTTTTCTTCGTAATTTGTGGGGACACCACTGATATGGGTAAATAGGAGTCACCTAAAGCACTCCGGTGGAGCCACCGAAAGAGTTTAGGTCCGTCTTCCACTGATAATGGAATTCTTTCTCATCCTTTATTGCCACTGCTGGACTCACTATCGAAAACTTCCAGAGTTGAAATATTTTCATGCATTAGGACTTCATGGCAGAAGGGGAAATTCCTTTCTTCGTTGTCATCTCCAAGCCCCAACACTAGGAACGAACAATCCGTTCAACAGCTAATGTCTGTTAAGAAAGTAGACGTGAAGTAGAAAGAAAGAACTTTCAGCTATGCCCTAGAATCTGAAACTAGTCTTCAGGCAACTATTATGGTAGGATATTTCTTGATAAATATCCTGGTTCTTTTTGCTGCCACTAATTTCTTAGGGTTGAGATTTTAGGGGATTCTTAAAATCCTTCTTACCCAACTTTCATATCTGTATTCCAATAGGTAATTTTAATCTATCTATCAAAGCAATCTAAGGTGACTAGTCTTCATCCAATGTGTTTCCTTCATATTATCCTTTCGGCCACCCTCTAACCGCGTAAAACACCTTTTCTGTTTAGCGAATTGTATCGTAAGCTAAATCACTTTCGAATGGGCTTGCTCCGCCAAAGTACAAACCTTTGAGGGTGAAGAGCAATGCTTACCAGGGATTTTAACCAAATGTTTCCAGTTTCTTTCTTTACTGAAAAGGAGCTCTATCGTTCCGTATTCGAATAGAGAATTTTTAAGCTCATCCCGAGAGCCTGTAAGAAGGGTGAAGGCTGTGAGAATGGAGACCTGATACCAGCCATGAAATTTGAATTTAGACACAAGAGAATCTAGCGGTTTTGCAACTATTCCATAAGCTACAAGAATCTTTAATTTCCACGTCATGAGCTGGAACTAGTGAACAGTTTCCAGTCACTACTCACCTGCAACAACAACAACCCTCTCTGCTTTAAACCAAAACCAACCAAAATTCGACTTTATTTGCTTAATTTTATTCAGATATATGTATTTGTGGGCTTATTCATTTACATACTTATGTATATGTATTTATGTACATATGTATAAGTACTTCACGGCAGTACCTTCATATACAAACATATTTACATTTTTTCTCCTTCTTTCGCTGTTAGATTTAACTTTTGTTTTTATTTCTCTGCACTTTGTTGTATGTCATTTACATATTTATGTTTGTTTATACGGCTCAACAATAACAACAACAACATATTCTATCCGCGGATTACGCCATTTCATGGCTTTGATACTGAGCTCACACTGCAAAGCTACTTTATGACTTGTAAATGTTAAGCTCTAAAGAAAAACATGCATAAGACGACTTTATGCGCACTTATGTGCACAACAAAAGAAGGAGAGAGAGAGAGAGAAAGAAAAAGAGTGAAAGGGCAGGTATTACTTCTTGTACACGTACTTATGGCAAACAATGTTAAAGCTTGGCAGATGAGCCCTACAAAGCTGCACTCACTCGAAATGACAATGGGAAAAATGGCACAACTTTTATACCTTCTTGCGGTCAAGGTTAAGCAAAGGCGGCAGGTGGGTCGCGTTGCATTGAGGGAGCGAGTTGAGAGCGCAATAAAAGGTGTTTTATATTTTTTTATATACTTATCTTTATTTATTTAATTTCTTTTTTTTTTGATATTTTTTATTTTTTCTTTATTTTTTTCTTTTGGTATTGCTTACCTCCATCAAGCACTCACTTTCTCGCTTTATTCCACGTATTTCTTATAATTTTCCTAAAAAGCGTTCTCTGCCAAAGCCTTCACTTCCATATAGTCGAGCCTGCTTGTGTCCACCCTTTGCCCTCCACCTCTTACATTCAACGAACCCTACTTAGTCAGTCCATTCATCATTGTCACAAGTGAAGGAGCAACGCCATCAATGTCATTGGTATATATTGACAACTGCAAAACCAATACAATCACATCAAAATCACCGATAACAGCAACAAACTATGCAAAACAACAACAAGAGTAACAGCGGCACTATATGTTGTCTTCTCACCCAACAGTAGGGTACTCATTACATCGTCGTTATCATCAGCAGCATTATTATATGTTTGTTTAAACTACAAAAGCGATGGTTGTTGCTGTTGTTATTGTTGAATTCTTTTTCCTACATTTATTGCTCGCAATAACAGCATCATGAAATATAAAAAAATAACAACAAAAAAAAGTTGTGTATTGCTGCTCATCGGTCGCAACGCTTAATCGCGCTCATCGCTCCTTTTAATGTCCATGCCTTAGCAATATTCAGTCAATTTCACTTAAATGTAATATCTCGTTCATTCATTCTATCATTCTGTCATTCATTCATTCATTCATTCATTCATTCATTCATTCATTCATTTATTCAAACATTCGTCTTCAATAATTCCGAACACTATTTTAATAAATATAACAAAACAACAATGCAATACCAGCCACAATGACAGAAAAAATATCGCATTACTCGTCACACGCACACACACTGATACACACACATACGCATACATACAATGGTGCTCTCTGCGTAGTTTCTTGCACTTTTCTCGACTTAAAAATCGTAATCTAATGGATTGATAGTTATTTGTATGGCATAAGGAATGAATGAATGAATGAATGAATGAATTAGTGAGTCAGTGAATGGGTTAGTGAGTGAAAGCAGAGTTTTACAATTAAATAGAGAGAGGATAACATTACAAGAGAGAGTTTTACTAGTTGGCAGTCAAACAAATTGAAATAATAAAATATTCTTAACAGAGTGATGGTGGCCTTGGCAAAAAAAAAAACAAACAACACTGCTGTGAGAGCCAAATAAAAAGGGACTAATTCGTCTACAAGCCATTTCTTGAGACTTTAAAGAAATAAAACTGATATAATTTAATGCTATTGCCAAGAATATAGCTTTAGTTTAAAGATGAGGTTTGGTCATTATGTTTTAAAAATCATTTCGGCTGAGTAAGAATATATTCCAGCCCAGTGGCCCAATTTTCGGCCACTTTAGTAGTCGTCGCCGTGCATCAGCAATAACTCGCTGAATGTTCTCTCAGGCGTCAATCATCTCGGGGGCTTATTCCGTAAAGAAATAACATCACATGGTCTCATAAAAAAGTCCAGGAGTACTAAGTGGCGCGACCTTGCAGGCCACGCTGCGAAATAATGCACTCATAAAATTAACTGGATTTTCTCGTTGTCTGAATGGCATGTACCGTCATTTTGTTGGAGCTAAACATCTTCTCAATCAATATCTGCCAATTCAGGTACGAAAAAGTCATTAATCATGGCTTTATGGCGTGTCCCATTAACTGTTACATTATGGCCGGCTTCATTTTTGAAGAAATATGTATCAATGATTCCCTCTGTCCTCACCCCACAGTGAGTTTTTGTGAATGTAACGCTGTCTCAATAATAGCTTGTGTGTTCTTATACCCAAAATGCGGAAATTTCGCTAATTAATTCACCCATTCAACCTACAGTGAACTTCATGACCGAACAAAATATTCTGATTCAAATCAGGATCGGTGGCAATCTCACTATGGGCCCTTTCACCGCACGCTCGACGTGCTTGATGAGCGTTCGGCTTCAATTCTTACATCAGATAGTTTTGTGAGCCCGCAAGATAAAATTCTTTTGCAAAATCTTTCATAAAGTGGATGGGCACTTATCCAATTGTAGCGCGCGCCATAGGCCATATAAAGTCATTCGGCTCTTTTGAGCACACATCACAGAGAAAAGCCAAGGCCAGCTTCACCGGATCTTAGCAAAAAAAAAAAAGTTTGATATCTCTTTCAATATTCATATTTAAGTTCAAATATTCAGCTACGAAAAAATACACGTAGATTTCTAAAATACTGGATATTTTCCATTTTTCATTAGAAGATAAATTCGGTAGGAGGTCTCAATAGATTTGATTATTCTTAAATCTAATGAAACGGATAACCCATATTTCACCTAATCAATCATTCGTGTTGCATATTACAAGTGCTCATGGGAAGTATTAGTAGTCAAGTCAGCCGGACTTCTCAAGTCGCGCCAAAGTCTACTCTAAAGGTAAATGCAAGAGTAGGAATTACACATACTTCTGCACAACTGGAAATTTTTCGCCAGAAGCGAGACTAATGTAAGGTACTTCCTCGCTAATACAATTCACCATTCTTTCCTGACATTTCCATCAAAAAATGGGAACAAATTCAAAGAATCACTCTCATATGTTTTAGCTGGTAATTCAAGCAGAGTTCAAGAGGAATGAGATTTTCAACTGAGCCTTCTTGTATAAAGCCTCAATATATATTGAGGAACTGAACAAAATGAAATTCCAGATATTAAAACAAACACAAAATATTTTGAAATTACTCCTCATACGTGTATATCTAAAATTTCTACTTTTGTATAAATTAAATTGGAATATTGGCCCCTTTGTGATCCCAATGTTGAAACTCAAAACTTTACTGACAATGCTGAAGCTCATTTGGCAAGGAAATTGAGGTTAAAACTTCCGGAGGAGAGACGTCGAGATGCGCTGAGGACACGAAAGTAGCGGAGGTAGGGTTTTTTTAACTGGAGAAACTTAGAGAGTTATTCTGCTACCTTAGAGATACCCTGCTTATATGTCAGCCTTATTGGAAGACCGCTTGAGAAGGAGTGTAGAATCTGCCTTTCCTTCTTCGATCCAGGATGGTATTTGGATATATTTTTTGAACTTGAATTAACTTATTCTTTAACCAACAACATTTGGAGCGTAGTAAATAAATTTAATTAGTTCTCGTCTCTGTGAATATTCCAAGCAAAGACTTCTTTATTGTAATAACATTTATAAAACATTAAATTTCAAAAATGTAGAACTTTGATAAACAAGAAGCAAAATATTTACTCCAAAGAAATTAAACTTTGGCGAAAATAGTTAAAAAAAAAAATTTTTAGTAATAAAAGTCGAAACGTAGAAGCGAACGTAGTTGGTAAATACATTTGGAAATGTGCCGTTAGAAATGCATTTCCATTGATATTGGTATTGCGAATCTCATGAATAAAGACATTAAAGTCAATCATTCTGAGTCATAAAACTCAGCAATCAATAAATACATCCGTCAGCCATGGGCAACGTAATAGGGAGGTATTCTGTCATACGACCGCCATGACAAGAATAATAAAGCTAAAAATAATATGAAATGAAGTAAAATGATAAAAAGTGAAATAAAATCAAAATTAGAATAAAATAAAATAAAAAAAGAACATATTAAAATTAATGAAATTAAATAAATTAATATTTAAAAATGGAAAAACAACATATAAATGAAATAATGTAAAGAATAAAAATCAAATTAAACTAAATAAAAAAATTAAATAAAGTAAAAAAAAGAAAAAAATTAAGTTAATTATAATATTCAAATTAAAATATAAAAAGTAATTTGAAAATAATTAAAATTAGATTAAATAAAATAAACAACATTCAAGAAAAAATATGAATTCAAATAATATATATGAAACTGAATTGGATTTAAAAAGTAAAATAAAAATAAATTAAATTTAATATAGTAAAATTATGAAAAACTAAAATAAAATAAAAATAATATTAAAAATATACTGATAATAATATAAATTAGATTAAAATAAATTTAACTTTATTTAATTAAATTAATTTAAAAAATATTGAACAAAAAAATTAAATTAAAATGAAAATATTTAAAATCAAATAAATTATAATAAATATATGCTCTTTCGGGTCATTTTCTGTTTAATTTGATTTTAGTTTTAAGTTTTTATGAAACTGTCTCAGACCATATATTGTTTGGAAATAGTGAAAAAATTACAACAACCACCACAAAATGAAAAATAAAATTATATAATTATAAATAATACTATATTACTAAAATGAATTAAATAAAAAAAATAAACAAACCAACTTTAAATTATATAAAATCACACAAAACAAAAAGTAAATAAAATTACAATAAATTAAATTTCGAAAACAAAATTAATCTCTTTTATTTTAATTATATAAAAGAAAATTAATTTAATTTAATTTAAAAAAATAAAAATTAAAATATAAAAAAGATAAAAAAAGCAATATATACTCATAAATAACGTACATAATTAAAAACGATATCAATTAGCATAATTAAAATTAAAAAATAAATTAAATATTAAATTAATTAAGAAAAAATAAATAAAAACGAAATAAAATAAAAACATGAAAAATTAGATCATTTATTATTAAACAAAATAAAATTAAATTAAATAGATTTAAAAATAATTAAAAGTAAATTACATATATATAATTGACGCTTTGTAACCGCTGAAGCGATTTTCGCCTCAGCCTCTGAACGACTGACGGTGTTACATTAGGAGCTTTATCAGCTTAGTCAGAAAAATACTCGGAGGGGTTGACATTCCCTGCCGAGGGGCGACCGCAATTAGGAAATTTATCTTAAATTTTTATATAAATTCATTTTCTATAACTTTTACAAGCCACTTGGCTACCGCAGAAATTATAAAACTAACTAAAACCAAATAAATTAAATGAAATTGACTTAAATCATTTATAAATAAAATAAAAAAAATAAAAATTAAATAAAATTAAAAAAAAAATCAAATTAAATTTAATTAAACTAGATAAAATAAAATGAATAAAACAAAATAAAATGAAATAAGAAATCAAATAAAAAAATTGTAATAAATCAAATATAACATGAACTAAGAAATAAGGTAAAATAAATTAAATTAAAATAAAATAAAATTCATAATTGTTTATGAATATAATAATTTTTATTATAAGCTCTAAGTAAACTAAAACCCTGATTTGTTTGTATGAATTGAATAATTTTTTATACAACAAAGAAAAAATGGTAGAAGTGACAGCTGTTTAGGAGATCACCACATCTCGTCATCAGACTTCTTATGGCAGGGATCGAACCAACGGATCATGGCTTAACAGGCGAGTGCTCCACCACTACGCCAACATCAGCCATATAATCTGATATAATACATATATTCAACGCATACAAACAAACCAGGCCTTTAGTTTACTTAATACTTATAACAATATAATATTGAATTTAAAAAAAAATGTTATAACGTTAAATAAAGGAAAAATAAATTAAATTTACTTAATTAATATTGAGTGAAATTAAATTCAACTTTAAAAACTAAATAAAATAAACTAAAATTTCAAATTAATTAAATGGAAATAAAATAAAGGCCACGAGATGATAAATATATCAAATCGACCCCGGAAAGATATCGGACTGATCACTTCAGAACATATTGAAACTTGTTTCGGTTTTCTGTTTCTAGAAAGGTGTGCAGTTATTGAAACTTCCCAATTCCCCTAAGACTTTAAATAATAGAAAGATGTATATATAAATGCAAATTATTTCAAAGTTGTGCCAGAATCGTAACTCCAATAACGAAAATTTTGAACATAAACTCGCTTTGTTTGAACAAAGTTGTGAGTCGATAAACCTTTAATATTTTCCATAATATAGATCAAGCGCTTTACAAGCTCCTGAGAAAAGCAATTATTTGGTGTGTTGTTGAAGTATTAATTTTCTCGAAAACGCCTGTAAATTCAGGCCTTAAACTTGTAGTACGAATTATCGAAATGATGAGCACGTTACTATTCTGTGACTGTTATCATTCTGTGGCCTTCAATTAAAATTAATAAAAAACTAAGATTTATTACAATTCATTTGAAATGAAATTGAATCAATTTAACTTAAGTATAAAATATATTTTCCTGCTTTTCATAACTTCTCTCTGTATAACTTTTTTATTCTCGATAAATCCCCAATATTTTACAAATTTTTAAATTAATTTCATACTTCTCTTCTCGTTCATCACGTGCGCACAGGTCAAAGAGGATTGGAAATACGTGGCCATGGTATTGGATCGTCTATTCTTATGGTTATTCACAATAGCCGTTGTCGTTGGTACGGCCGGCATAATACTGCAAGCGCCGACGTTGTACGATACGCGCGTACCAATCGATATTAAATTATCGGAAATAGCAACGACAACAGCGAAACCGAGCATTGCCAAACCTGTGTTATAAAAACAAATTGCAAAAAAAAAATACAAAAACAAAAACAAAAACCTAAAACAAATACAATAGTTAAAATATAATTAGCAAAATATAGTTAATAATTTAAACAACAACAAAGTAATAAGAAAAACTGTTGAAAAGTGAAATAAAAGAAAAATTTAAAAAAAAAATATGAAAATTAACATTAATTTAAGAAAAAGTTTAACATTAAATTAAGAGAAAAAGCTAACATAAAATTAAGAGAAAAAAAAAAACCTAAAATAAAATTAAAAAAAAAAATTACATCAAATTAAGTAAAAAAATACATAAAATAAGAAAAATTAATATACAAAAATAAATAAAAATTAAATTAGCAAAAAGTGATTAAGAAACAACAAACACACTATATAAATAATTTTAATTTAAAATAAAACTAATTATTTGCAATTACTGTAATAAACGTATGATACGGGCAGAATTTAATGGCGACAGTTAACTGAAATATAACCTATAAATTAATCGAATGGATTTGCAGTTTTAAGCAAGCCAAGAAGACAACAACAACAACAACAACAACAACAACAACAACGTTTAAAAAGTAAGTTAAATTATAAAACATTAGAAAGGCAACTCACATTACTCCAACAAAACTAACACATAGTATATGTTTGTATGTAAACTATTGTACTAATACTACTAATACTACTACTAATACAATAGTAATAATAATTAATTACAACACTTGTAATGATTAATACCACAATGTTTACTAACGAATACAATAAAACGAATAAAACGCATGAGGCAAGAGCAGTTGATGAGAACAAATTATGACAAGGCAGTAACATTGTACAACATAAATATGTAATTAATGCCAAATGAGAAAATGAAGTATATACATACATAAGTACTTACTCATATATAACCTAAGATACTCAAGTAGATAAATTCATATGTTTGTATGTATGACTTATGACTTCAGCTGGAAGTATTTGGAGTCAGAATTGCATCATAACAACCAACACCAGCACTACAAATATAATATTAATAAATATATTGCCCCAAAACGAAACTACTATATTAGTAAGTACTTATATACATATACAATAGAACAATATGTGTATGTAGTGAACCATAAAAAACATTAATGTAAGTGGATAAGTAAGCAATGATTAACAGGCTGGTAGCTTTTTGAGTGCAAAATTCATATTCAAGTACTGCCCAAGGTGCACATTAGGCATAACGTAGCATAATTACCTATAATTGTAATATAGTTGTTATAATGTAGCTATTTGTATTAACTAAATGATTTACGTTCATACATATGCATGGTATAAGTGTGAGAGTTTGTTTGAGAAAGTGTGAATGTTGATGTATGCATATTTGAGTTCTCTATTGTGGAATTAACAATTAAATTACCTTTATCCATTTGCTTAGCTTAAACTCCATAGTTATTTATTTTTTTCCCCTGTTGGCATTGTTGTCATGTCAAAAACTACTCTTTTATTATACGAGCTTAAGAGTTTAAGACAGTAGCAACTTAATATATTTTAGAGACTAAGAGCACTAAGATCATACGGAAAAGTCAAAGGTGTTGAGCAGAAACTCCGAACAGACCTAAAAAAAATTCTTGCTGATAATGAATAACTCAAGCTCACAAGAATCCAATAGCCTGCAATGAACGGCTTAAAACTGTCGGTCTCTGCATTTGTATGAGTATCATCATGAGCCACATAACAATTGAGAGGAACAGCTAAATCAAAGGAGACATGTGAAGGGTTTCTTTCTTTGTATTGTAGAAGCATATTTTAATAATGACGCTTCTTAGTAAGAAATTCACCTTTTTTGCGCTTTTTGGGAAATTTATGAATTTTATTTAGAGTTACCAGTTAAAGATGATGGGTTGAATTGATGGACTTTCGTCTTTCTAGTGAACAAACCGATTTTAGATTTTTCCGGCTTTATTGAGAGAGCTGGTCTTTTAGCTCAATCAGTTGCCATTGCAAGCGACCTTTCTCTATTATCCGCGCTAGTCAGCTGGAATATTTGCCAAAAGGTAGGATGATAAGATCATCGGCATAACATACCACCTTTAAATTATTTGTAAACAGTTGGAATAACTGGTTTACCAAGGCGTCCCACCACATCGAAGACAGGTTGCCTCCTTGTGAAGTGCCACACGTGATTTTGTGCCACAAGAGTGTACTCTCGTTTATATATATTTCTTTTTAAACATTAATATTTATTTATTGAATCAGCTTTGACAACGGAGGCCTAAGAATAAGTAATAAAATCTTAAACTAAATTTAAAAAAAAATTCATTAATAAGAATGGGCTGTTGGCTTGACGTTGCTCTTTAGATAGTTGATTTGTCTCGTTTATTTAATATCAAAATTTCTCGAGGATCTTTCAAGGATTTGGCGTCAAACAAATTAATAGCAGCTCAACGGTCGATAAGACTTCAATGATAAGTCCCAATTAGTTTGTTTACAGTACATTTTAGCCTTTCACACATTACGCTTGATAAGTCCTTATATGCAATATTTAATGGGGATTATCCCACAGTAAGTGACACAGAGAATGAGATCCCCCTTTGTGTGGTTTAAGCTGATCACACGTAAGTTTCAATAGCCGGGCAAGCATTCATACGAACATATTTTGCAAAGAAACGGATGCAAACGCCTAGTCAGTTCATCGCTGACAATCCATGAGTATCCGTCGCTTATGTTTTTCAAGCGGGCAATTGTTATTTGAACGTCTTCATAGTCAAGCAATGAAACAACTGTTCCATCGTAATCGATCGAATCGGATTCAACATATCCTGGTGTTCTATTTTCATCGGCAGCAGACTAGAACATCGGCCACAAGATTACCTCCTTTCATACAAGTTTCGTCTTCTGTGGTTCATCTTTTTAAGCTCGCATCTTGACCACTCTCTTTTTGCGTCTGTTATTATGTACATATACGAGTATATATGTAAAGAGTTTTCCAATAAGAGGTGTTATTTTAAATAGCCCGCTTTTCCGATAGATGTCACTTTTAAAGTTGTAATTTTTTTTACATTTGATTTCAACGAAAAATCATGTGGAGACTAAGTCCGTAAGTTAAACTGTCGTCTCTGTTTGGAAAACTCAAGATTTTTTATTTATAAGCCTCTCCATCCTCATTATGTAGCTGTTTGGTGCGGTTTATTGTTTAGAGTTGTCATTGGACCTTAATTTTTCGAAAATGAATAGATTGCGTTATCGAGATTTGAATTGCAATGATCACAGGTCGAAAAAAAAAATATTTTTCAATTAATACAATATTTTTCATTTTTTTGTTGGTTTGCCATGGATTCGAACCCTCGACCTACCCTATGGTAGCACACACTGTGAACCACTTAGTCACAGTGACTGGTTAAGAACATCTCTTAATATGTACCAAATCAAAAAGAGAATTCCAAAGCTTAGAAATACCACGACTGTTGCGCCACCTAGCGAGAAATATTATCGCTTGGATACAGTCATTTTAGTAGTTAGTTGTACAGAAAAATTTAAAAATTTATGAAATTGAAACCCACTGCCGTTCTCAACTGTTTGACAGTATAAACAAAAACTTTTCAAAAAATTAATTTACAAAAAAAACAATATACTGGCTTCCCCATTTTGTCAGGCATCAACATTAGCTGAAGAGTGTTTAGTTAGATAAATAAAAATGATTTTTACACCTTTGATGGACATGAAATGGTACATTAACTTTGACGCCAAGTAAATAAGTACTAGAAGAAGAATAGACGGGTCCATCAAAATCAATAACGATCGGATCTGATTGAAGATTTGATTTGATTAAGCCATGTCCGTCTATCCATCTCTTCACTGTGGGCATAGCTCCTTAACTTTTGAGATGTTTCAACCAAAATTGGTACAATTTAACTGCCATTTGTCGAGACCGGACAGAACGAGCGATTTTTCAGGTTTGAGACTTTTGGTCATAAATCCACAATGCAACCGGACGGCTATATGATATAGTCTCCATATTACCGACTTTTTTCAGATATAAGGTTTTGATCAGAACTCCATAAAAAAAGCTTTCAAAAGCTTAACAAATAAACATTGTAATCAAAAATCACAGAAATCGAATTTTGAATTTCGCAATATAAAGTTGAGAAGTTCATGAAAGGTATAAAGACATCGACATGGCCAAAGACCGCACATCTCTCTTATTAAAACTAAATGGAGCTTATTTTGAAAACAAAAGACTTCGCCAAATCCAGAGAATGTTTTGTTGAGCCTCCCAGCAAAGCACAGTGAACCCATTTAGTTGCTTAGGCATGCCCGTGACGCCCAAAATGCTTCTCTATCTGCTCCTTCAACTAGCCAACCAACCAACCAACCAATGAAATTATTTGCAAACAATTAAATGGAAATTCTCATATTTACAATACATACATACACACATATGCATTTGCATACCATAAAGTCTCATTCATTTGCTAATTTGCTTGAGAGTATCTAGAATTGCCTATTAGTAGTGAAATATGTTTATTTTGAGTTTAATTTTGTGGAATGCCTGTAGAGTTGTTACACTAATACTGTGGAAATACCTGTATGTTTGTTGGAATAATGAAGAAATTTACACAACAAATTTGTGGAAATCTATTACCAAAATAAAATATTGACATTCATATACATATGTATATACATATATACTGAACTATATGCTATTGTATTTAAGTTCCATTTTGATTTGCTTTAATTGAGGTTAGAAGAGTAAAGACAAGCATAAATTGAAGCACATACATATATATGTATCTTACTTAATTTATAACAAACACTTTCTCAGGCTTATTAGTAAAAAGAAATCCATTATATTTTGCTTTAAATTAAAGTCTTTATCCGATTTATGTCAAATGTACGCCGTCTGGGTGGAAACTTTCTGCCATTTTGAAGATAAAGTCATTATGCCTCCCATAGAAACCCTTATTTCTGCAAGAGCAAAGAGCAATCGAATTTCACAGGCCTCAGTTGAAGGCCGTTTTTCACCAACCAAATCGAATGCCATACTCTGGAGTAAAAGGTGTATGCA